GCTGGTCGAGATCGCATCTGACCCCAGCAGTAGCTCTTCCTGCTTCTTCTCTGAACTTTCATCTTTTTTGTCAATTCCACTTTACAAATTGTTTACATCTGTAAACACTGTGAAGCCTCATCATTGAGTGACAAGGGGACAGTACAACTATCTGCTTCCTGGGTATGTAGATATGGAGAGAGATACCTACTGAGACCAGCCTATGACCAGCAGCACTAGAGGAAATGATATGATTGGTCATTGACAGTGATAAGCATTTTACATTGGTATGTTGATTTGTGGAGTCAAGGGCCAGCACTCAAGTTTGTGCATGTGAAATTACTGATGCTACATTTGTGAGGTATCTGCCAGAGAGACCTCTCAGGCATGGTTCAAGCCAATAAAAATCCGTTATTAGACAGCAACTACACTAGGTATTGGGGATCTGAGTGCAGTCCTAAGCCTTTTTTAGGGTGAGCTTTTAAGCCTGAAAACCACATCCTGGGTTGACAATCCACAGTTAGCAAGAAAATTTAGCCAGAAGTCAAACAAAAGAAGCCAAAATGCAAAATTCGTGTATTTAGGTACTTTCCCAGAACTTTGGGAAAGTTTACGTCTTTGTTCTCATTCTAGCAGGTGGTGCTGCTGCCTACACGCTGGCTTCCAAGGCCTGGATGGTACTTCCCTTATGGCATCAGCTGTGCTAATGTCTGGGGAACTAAGGTCTGGAAGCCTGCAACACTGCATCTGCCATGAGGAAGGGAATTTGAGCCTTGTGTTGGACCGATGTTACCCAAACTCTGGCAACTAAAATTCATGAGTACCCATACCAAAGTGAGGATTATTTGTCTTCCTTAAGCATAATGCCAGTTCAAACAGGGAAAGGATGTTCAGAGCCTCAGTTTCCAGAATAGGGACTTTCATAGGATACACACTGAAGGCGTAAGTCACAAACAACCCCCACCAGTTTGGAATTATGATTAATAGAATGGTTATTTATTTAAAGGGGAAAAACTTACAGATCACTGTCACAGACAACAACCTTCTGTGTGATCAGGAAAGGAGTCTAGGAGCCAGAGTGGAGCCGGAAGCAAGAGAGCAAGCAGAGGGCTGCCGCTGCTTTTTTAAAGAGAGAGAGATCATGCTGCAGTGGGCTGGTATCTCAGAGGCTATTGGCTAAAGGAGCAGAAGGAGCTCCCGCAGCACCTCCCCTTTTTGTTTAAGTAAGAGAGTTCTAAACCTACTATGAAATTATATAGAATAGGAACAAATATCCTATTCTAACTAGCTTAAGTCTTGTATAATAAATAACTTGGCCAAGTCATAAGAGGAAAGTAACTACATTTATATAGTCTTCAACCCCATCGAAGATCTGAGAAGGAAAATAATGTTACCTGAGTAATTAGGAAGTACAATCAAACAACTTCCAAAACATGCAACAAATCACAGAGACAACTGACTACCTGGGCAATCACCCAAAGTCACGTTTGCAGTGTTGAAGCAAAGAACTTTGGCTAAGGCCTAACGTAACTGACATACCATTTTCAAAAGCAAGAAACTTTTCAAACCTATCTTACCCTGTCTTGGCAGGATATGACAGTCCTGTTTTATCCATTTATGGATACTCAGTATCCCTGTCAGTGATTGAGGTATGGGCATTTCTTTGCCCAAAGGCCAGTTCTGCCAAGAAGAAAGGCTCCAGGTGGAGTGTCTTTGGTGTTCAACATTCTCTCGGCAATAGATTGGTGTTGCCCAGAGCGATTGTGTCTCAGTACCACAGAACTCTTGAGTTAGATTAAAGGCCATTTTCTACAGCTCTTTGAAGAGGTTGAAGATTATCTATCTATACTGAATATAATCTCTATGTATCTAAAGAACCTGATTAGTCTAATTATAAATGACAAACTTAGATGACTGTTGATCTATATAATTCTCAATATCTATCTAACTTAAAGACTAAGACAATAAACAACTGTGCAATAAATGAGGACAATATGACCTCCAAATATAAACAATGCACAAGTATACATTGCAATATGGTAAATATATATATATCAACACATAAACAATATATACGTATCTTAATCAGAGGTGGAAATGTACACTGCAATAATGCAGTGAAATGTACACATGAAATGATTTTTTTAAATAATGGATATGTTGTTGTTGATACCAATTTCTCTTAAATGTTACACTTCAGTTCAAAACTTTTCTTCCTTTTCCCGCTATTCTCCAGATCTTTTAAATTTATTTTACTTACTTTGAATTAAAAAAAAAACCATAACAATTCTGCAATCTTCACTCATCTTTTGATCTCTGGCAAAAACAGAATGTGTAGCAGATGAAGGTAGAAATCCTGGGTTTTGCTTGATGACCTTAGGAACAATCTGTGTGCCCTACTTCCCTCCTGGGAAGTTGTGGTGAAACACTGGGAGCTTCGTGATATAAAGCTTCCATGATAATATAGTCCAACAATGACAGTCTGCACACAGATGTTCTAAGAATCTAAGAATCCAGTAGCCGTCCTGTCCACGGGGCTGGGTCTTTAGTGTCCATCAGAATCCCACATAAGTAGGCTCTATTGCCAGTGAAGGAATGGACATCCAGTGGGAGTGAGAGCAAATAGGCAAAGAGCAAATTCTTCCTTCTTCCATGTCGTTTACATAGGCTGCTGGAGATGTGAAACCTGAAAAGATCTGAATTTAAAGGTGTATCTTTTCACCTCAAGAGATCTCTATTAAATATTAAAAGTGGATCTTCCCACTTTAAATGATTTAATCAAAAATATTGGTCACAGGTATATCCCGCCACTTGGGTTTTAGTTAATACCAGATATAGTCAAGTTGTCAATCAAGAAATTGACCATTGCAGGTAGTGAGAAGAATTCTGATGAATCTTTGCCAGTGAAAGAGGTTGTTTCCCCCACATTGGGAGAGCTGTTCTTTCCCTTGGTGGCAGAAGCATCCTTTCTTAGTAGTGATGCATTTTGCCTAGCACCATCAGAGGAGTCTCCTGTCCGTCCTAGGGAAGCTCTCGTGCCTTCTCTAAGGCAGCTCCAAGCAAGGCCGTGCTGACTGTGTTCAAGAAGCACCCTTGCAGTCTTGCTTTCCTTCTAGGTGTACAGCAGAAGTCTAAGCAGGCCACTGGATATAAGATTAGGTTGGTTGATACATAGACCACAAGATTGGTCCTTAGTCAGTGAGTTGGAAATGCTTACCATGCTGTGGTTTAAGGGTTTGAAGACTCAGGCAGAGAGTTGTCTAAGGGGGACTGTCATTTAAGAGCCGCCCACATAAAGGGTCTGAAAGACAAAGCTTTCACCACTGTTGTAGGAATGACTCATAAGGGGAGTCCCAGCATCCATGGAGAGTACGGTCGCTACTCTCTGTGAGACAGACCTTACAGTAGGAGGCAGCCACGGGGTCTGTTAACCTGACACATGCCATGCCACTCCCTTCTATCTCATATCCCCATCTCACAGAGGAAGAGAGTCCTGCGTCCTGTCTACAAATAGTTCTGTGTGACAGAAGAGTTGGGAACCACCAAAAAGCAGTCAGTTGCAGATTCACAGCCAATTTCTGGAATTTCCTTTTTTCTAGAGCATCTCCTTTTTGGGCATATGTCCTTCCTAGGCTATTCTCTCCTCACAGTAGATACAAGCTGTTTGCAACTGGCTTGTAAGAAGAAATGACCAAATTCATGGGCTCTGGAGGGTCAGAGACTCCACTGCATGAGCATAATGTAGATTACAGGGAAATTTTTAATGGGATTTTTGATTCTTCAAAAATTCCATGCATACACACCATGCATCTTCAGCATATGCACCTCAACAGCTTCCCTTCCCCCTGGCGTTCCCAACCCATCCCTTCCCCTTCCATGTCCCCTCCTTTTCTGTTTGACAACTCAGAGTCTGATTAGTGCTGCCTATTGCTGTGCTGACAGACCTTGTTGACACTTAGCTTGTGCAAATGAGTTCACTAGCTGAGTGGTGGAGTGCCCTAAAGACACAGCATTTCCCAGCACTCTGGGGACAGCCTATGGCACTTACAACTTCCCTCCCTTCTTCTGTGATGTTCCCCGAGCCTTGCAACTGGGGGAGGAGTTGATATAAATGTCTCCTTTGGGGCTGAGCACTCAATTGACACTTATTCTCAGCATTTTGACCAGTTAGGAGTTTCTGCATTAACTACTGAGCACTGCAGAGGAGCTTCTCCGGCTGAGGGAAGGCAGCCCTAATATTTGGGTGTAAGCATAACTATTTAGACAGCAGTTTGATAATACATTGTTTAGTAAAACAATAGAAGTAGGCTCAGTTATTATCTTATACACTCATAAGCCATGGGCTTTTGACAAAGTTATAGCACTAAGCCTGAATTCCTGCCTGTGGAGCAGACCTCAAATCCAAGCTAAAAGTCTTCGGTTAACCTGTAAAACCTTTATGTCACTATTGAACCAGTGGGCCCATTTTGCCTGGCAGATTGGCATTGCAGCCATTCAGGGACGCCACTGTTGTTTTCCTCTCTCTGACCTTCATTGCACTTGTGGCACCATGAAAACTGGTCTGCCATGGGGAAGTTTTTAGGTCAGTTTCAACTTGATTTCTGTATGCATGATAAGGACATTTGAGGACGAGATGCTGTATAGACCTCTCTGAGTGGCAAGTGATATAAAATTACTTGTGTTCCCTATGACTGGTTCCCTAAAAGTGGCCTTAGTAGGGAGAAGAGGAATTTAATAATTGAGTGAATAGAATGATTTGATTTGTGGCTGCTAGTCAGCTTTCTATCCCTGCCCCCACCCCGTCATTACACAAATGAGTTTGTGAGCTCAGTGGCCAGGCGGCAGGGAGAGAGGTGATGCTGGTTTCTGCATCAAGAATCTGCAGTCTTCAAGGTTTTTGGAGACTTCTGGTCACTTTAGAATGCTGTCTTCTGAGCATCTCCGCCAGTGCTATCATCAGAACAGTAGCGACTGTTTGCAACAGGTGTTCAGTACCAGGGTCGTG